ACTGCCTGCTCCCAACCTTCTCTCCTATTCCAGCAGAGGAGGTATCCAGGGCTTGTCCAAGGTCACTCCCTTTGGATTTTAACCCTCCCCTCAGGTACCTCATCTGTCAGTCCCTCATCTCTCGCCTAACACAGACCCCACCCTCTCCCATCTCCTTGCCGTTTGGCATTTAAAACATGTTCAAGTCTCTCGCCCTTGACCAAACAAAGCCTCCTTTGGTTCCGCTTCCTCCTCCAGCTAACAACCATTGCCCTCCTCCCTTCATAGCCCAGTTCCTCAAATGGGCTGCCTCCCGGGTTTCCACTTGCTCCTGCCTCAGCCCCCACCTCTCCAGCAGTGATGGGACATGGTCAGCTCCTCCATCTCTCTTGAGCTCTCTCCTGGTTGTCCTCCTACCTCTCCTGATGCCCCTTCTCAGCAGCTCCTCACCTATCATTTGTTAATCAAAAACTGAGGCTCCCCAAAGTCCAGCCTCTAGTCTGCACCCAAGCTGCACCGTCTCCCTGAAGGCTCTCACCTACTTCCATTGCCTCCTCTGGCATCTACCTGACTGGTTCCTAAATGGATCTCTCATCCCAGCTTACCTTTCTCCTGAGCCCCAGAAACATGACCAGTCACCCCCTCAATATTTCTGCATAACATCCTCCAGGCCCCTCAAGCTCAGCATTTCTGAATGTGAACACAGCATGTTTGCCCCCCAAATCTGCCCCTCCTCCCGTACCTACGGATGGAAACACCATCCATGCTGATACCAATCAGAAACAAGTAATGATGTTTTCTCTGAGATTTATATTAATACTGAGGGAGACGCCCTGTGGAAGCTGCCCCTCTCCCCTGCAGATCCACGAAGAGACTTTTACATTGGAATCAGCTAACCAAAATTCAGAGAACCAAATGTAGCTGTTCTGGGGTTGGGGGCTGGTGTGGGCAGGAGGGAGGTCCTGCCAAGAAACACCCCAAATCCAGAACCTAAGGTTCCCATACCCAGACACTGACAGGTACTGTCAACCCCTGAGCCCCTGCTTCCTGGGTCTCAGATCCCCACATTTCTACACAAAGACAGACACAGAAATTGATTCCTCAAGGCTATATAGCAGTCTTGTGGCTCAGGGGTCCTTTCTCTCTTTAGGTTACTTTGCCAAATTCTGCTCTGAGTCAGCTGTGTTGATGCCACAGTCTTAACAAAGCTCCCAGAGCAATCCTATGTCCCCCTTCTCCTGGTACATGAAGGGAGTCTCCCTTACATCTCATATCTGGCCACGGTGAAGGCATCAGTGCCTCCTCTCCCCCCATGCCCACAACACCAAGACAGTCTGCTCTGCCTCTCATTTCCCTCATCCAGCTGGCTCACGCCATCAACATTGCCCCAGCCTCCACCCTGCTCTCCCTGCCAATCTAGTCTTCACCCAGAAGCTAAAGTTTATCTTTCTACCACACAAATCTGAGCTCTTCACTCCCTTGCATTAATCCACTCCCTACTTCCCTGTTGTGCTCACAATAAAGCCTTTTGACCTGGCCTGTGAGGTCCCATGTGATCTGTCTCCAACCCCACTTCAGTTTTATTTTCTCCTCTTTGCCCTCTCTCTCACCCCTCCAGAAGCACAGAACTACCCACGCAGGCACATATAAGACTTTGAGAGACAAATATTTGTTGAACAAATTAATTTCTTAAACACACAATGCTCTTTGTGGCCTCTCCCTTTGGTATCATCATGGGTATCACCTTCCTCCCTTCCTTCCGCACTTTCATGGACTGCTACGTCCAGATTTTTCTCAGTCTCAGCACAGCAACCCCTCCCTGGGCCCTAGGATCTGGAACACTGTGCTGTGTTATCTCTCTCTCACAGACCGGGTTCCCCTAGGGCCCAGCTCCAGTATTGTTCCTTCCTCCTCTGGCCTCAACATAGGGCCAGACCCAGAGTAATTGGTCAAATAATGCTAGCTGCTTGGGAACAAAAGGACCTTATGTGGCTCCCAAAGTCTGGGTTGATTTAGGAGGAAGGAAGAGGATGAAGAAAGCAAGTGCTTCCTTGTGTTTTGCAGCAAGAGTCTGCCTACAATGACTGACACATGAGGTCTATCTGCCCAGCAGTTTGCAGGGTGAAGTGAACTCGCTCAGTTGTGTCCGACTCTTTGCGACCCCGTGGATTGTAGCCTACCAGGCTCCTCTGTCCATGGGATTCTCCAGGCAAGAATACTGGAGTGGGTTACCATTTCCTTCTACCTATACTTTATCTCTGTCGATCCTCTTCCAACACAGCAAGGTAAAAAGGCTTTTCTCAATGTGGAGAAAAGGAAATGGAAGTACAGAGAGGAAGCATGGTGAAGGCCCATGATCAATGTCTACTGAGTGAAAATAAGCCACATCCCCAGGCCAGCGCTCTTCACTAACCTGCGCATGGTCAAGGGAACCATCCCAGCAATGAGCAGGACCAGGAAAGAGGGCTTTTACAGTCTCAGGAAATCACCTGCCCTGGGCTTGGAGTTGGCATTCTCCTTTCTCTCCTTCCAACATAGATTAGAGCCTTGGGCCCCTCCTGGGGGCCCCAACTTCCAGTCAACAATATGGCTGAGCACCTATTATGTGCTGGGTCCTCTCTGAGCCCCAGAGTGGGATGAGGTAGACCCTGAAAGAATCCCCCTGCCTCAAGATGATGCATTCTAAGAATTGAGGGGGCTGATGGGTAGAGGACAGACTATAACTGGTGGCCAAGAGGGGTGAAGTGAATCCTGATGGACATCTCTTTCTGGCCCCTGGGACCCTTCCTTTTACCACCAGTCCTCCTCCTTCCTTTCCTACTTCCATCACCATGAGGCCCGAGAATCAAACATGCAGTTACTCTGTACAGACTGACCATGTCCTGATCAGTCATGGACTGATCAGCAGACAAGTCCATTCATCTGAGAGCAGAGGTGCCAAGCCCTGGAAGAATGCAGGGGTGTTGAGCCTGCCATGGTTCCCCAGGAAATATTTGTTGTGTCTGAGAGAAACCACCCCTCCAGGCCTTGCCCACCCTTCCTGGCGCCAAGGCCCTTCAGATACTTGTGTGAGAGCCAAGATGCCAAAGCTAAGTTGTGTTCCAGGTCCTTAATACATTCTCAAGGTAAGGGCAGGAGCATCTGGGGGAAAGAGGGCAGACAGCACTGATATGGGGTTCACGAAGCAAGGTCTCTGTCCTAGGAAAGCCCACAGGCTGTTGGCAAATCCAGCTTTGATGGAGGCAAGGAGAAGAGGAGGAGACATGAGAGGAAAGGGATTGAAGCTCTCCCTGAATGCCTCTCTTTTCCACATTAGGGTCATACCTCAAGCTTCCCATGTAGAGAACATCCCTGTACTTAATACAGCGCCCCCCCCCCCCCGAGATAAATCCTGGCCCCTCCACTTGTCTTCTCCATCATTGTCTCCTCTGTTGATACCCTGCCCTACTCACCTATGCTCACTGTCTGTTCATACAGTGATACCTACTTTGGGGAGGCTTGTGCTGTACCCTGAGGAGACAGGGAAGATTCAGACCGGATCTTCACGGTCAAGTGAGGATGATGAGCAAGCAAACAGAAGATGACAACCATACAGGACAAGTGCTGAGATACCAAACCTGGGGCTGATGCAAAACACTGGTGAGGCACCCCAGCCCCTAGGAACCTGGTGGCAGCAAAGGCTCTGGTGTCTGTTTTCCCCCTAGAAAGTAAGCTCTTTGAGAGCAGAGCCTGGGTCTGATTCATCTTCCAGACCTTTCTGTCCTTTTCTGGGTGTGTCTAGGATTCAGGTATGTTACTAGGCCATCCTAAGATGACAGTTATTTGTAGAGACTTCTTACCTGGGCTTCCCCACTGGTTCAACAGTAAAGAAACTGCCTACCAGTGCAGGAGATGCAGGTTTGATCCCTGGATTGGAATGGTCCCCTGGAGGAGGGCATGGCAACCCACTCCAGTATTCTTGCCTGCAGAATCCCATGGACAGAGGAGTCTGGCGGGCTACAGTCCATAGGGTCACAAAGAGTCAGACACAACTGAGTGACTGATCACATTCTTGATCCCACCCAAAGGTAAGGCTTATCCTGAGTGTCAATCATGAAGGAAAGGCAATTCCCTAGATGCCTTCTGGGAAAAGTTTACTCAGGACGTAGTAGAAGTCTATATTCCTCCCTCAAAACCTTAACTTCTGGCAGCTATACCTACTTTCCCAAGCCTGGTTGCAGATCAAAACACTTGGGGGCATTTTTTAACTCAGACCCCTAGCTCCAAAATGTCAGAGTCATCAGGGCTCAGGGGCCAAGGAATCTGCTTCTCCCAGTTGATTCCAACGCAGCTGGCCCTTTCTGTGTGTTCAGAAACCTCTACTCTAGATCCTCATGGAGGTAGGAACTAAGAGCTCTTCCTGACAAGGGGTGCTAAGGGTCCCCACCGCCCTGAGATAACTGGGAAGGATGAGTCAGAATATGAACCCAGGAAGTTGCCTAGCCCCTGACCCAGTCCATAGGCATGGCAGGGAGAACTCCACCTCTGGGGGCACCAACTTTTTAAATGGTTCAGGAGGTCTCTCAGGGGAGAGTACTTGTCCCTGCCTTCACTTCCATTTTCTGCCCTAAAAAGGGAAATATTTACAGTGTACAAAATAAGAGGATACTGGTTAAGCTCTAAATGAGATTGCCTAGTTGGATCAGACTATCCAGAAAAATTTTTTCCCCAGGTTATCCCTGAGTCCTTAGCAGAGCTCTCTCTGAACCTTGAGCCTCAGAATGATGAGGAGGAGTCTGTGGCCCTTCTGGATTCCAGGTTTTAAATGCCACCCCCCATTCCCCACTCCCACCTGAGGCCAGCTTGGAAAGTGATATTGAAGGGGAGACCCAGTGGGAAAGATGAATTGGAATCACGGCTCACAGAACCCCATTCCTCTGCCCAAGCATAGGATCTCTTTCCATAGCCCCCAGCAGGTTAGGCCAGACTCCCGGAGGGGAAGGAGGCTGGTTTCTCTCTCTATCCTCCGCCCAGTCACTTACCTCAAGGGCATGCCCAAAGAGCCAGTGGGTGGGGGGCCCTGAGAATCTGTCCATAGCCCTGGCTAGCATCTGCCTCCGCAGCAGCAGGCGAGTGAGCTTAAGGAAGACTAAGACCGAGACCAGTCCAAAAGCCCACAGGCTCAGGTGGGAGAGACTCAGGGAGAGCAAAACCATGGCTGGAGTCGCAGTCACCCAGGTTTCTGCCTGCCTCCTACTGCCCTCAAGTTCCCTTATACAATGAGCCCAGGCACCCCGCCAGCTCCCACTCCAGCCACGCCCTGCAATCAGAGACAGCCCAGGCTGGGCTGAGCTCCACAGGGCAGAGACAACAGTCCCCAGATTCACAGATGACAGAGGAGACAGCCTGGCTGATTTCTACCAAAACTCAAATGAAGAAAACTAGATAGCGGACTTCAAAGAAACGAGGCAATGGGTTCCTTAGAGGAACAAATAGAAGGCAATTCTTGGTATGATCACTGGCATGATAATGACTACCTTTTCATGTAAGCCACCTTGGATGCTTCAGGTACTTGCCACACACTATCTCATTTAACCCAAACAAGGTCAGAAAAGTTTGTATACACAAGTTTGTATTATGATCTTGGGAGTAGAGTTGGCCTTTCTCTGACCTAGGCCCTCCCTTCTAGGGCTTGAATCTTGCTCCTGAAGATGACTCAACGAAACAAAAAACAAAAAGGACTTAAAGCATCATGAGCCTGGTGTAAATGCAAGCTCTCCCAGCAGTCCATGTTCAAAGGGAACAATGGAAGCTCTCTTTCAAGAAGGCACAGGCAAGCTGAGCCTCCGTTTCATTATCTGGAAAATGAGTTTAAAAAGCAAGTACTGATGACCTTCTTGTTTGAGTTAAATGAGAGTGTGTAACATTCAAGGTAATTTGTGTGAAAAGGTGGTCATTATTATGCCGATGGCACACACCTCGTCACACACCCTGCTGTTCACACGGAACCATCCCCACTTCTAGCACCAGAGAGAGGTCACCACATTGCCAGAATCAGAGACTCGCCAGCATTCAATTCCTAGGCCCTGATCCTACCAGCTACCCCTTGCGCTACCTTGGCAGTGTGATTCTTGAAACCAAAATGTGCCTTCCTGGAGCTTTCACTGGCTATGCCCGCAAGGACCCAGTAGAAAATGTCAACTGCAAAGAAAAACTTAGAGATAACCTCCAATCCAGTAGTTACCTGGGTTAAGGAGATAGAGACATTGAGCCTCTGCCTTTATCCAAATGCTTTCCAAAAGCTCTTCCCCTCCAGAAAGCCTTCCTCCACACCCTTCCTCCATTTCAGAAACACAAACTAAAGCCAGTCTTCTAACCATCTTCAACTCTTCTTGGGTTTGTTCACATTTTGCCTTGCAGCAATTGTCTTATTTATAATGTCTGTCTTGGCCTCAAATCTCCCCATTCTACTACATTAGAGGTTGGGCTGGTCTTTTCCTTTGTTTTCATGGCTGAGCCAGGACAGACAGGATACAAGCAAGCATTCAGTGAAACCTATGATCAGGTGGATGAGTGAAAGGATGGACACCCTGGAGGGTTCTGTAGGCCCTGGGTTTTACTGGAGTTAGGAGAATATTGGCAACATGCACCCAACTGCACTGCCCCACTTTTACCCATAGTTCAGTAACTTTTCAAGGGAGGCTTTGTGTCAGGGTTCTCTCCTCTTCCCCAACACCCAGCACAGTAGACACTTAATAAATAATTGTTTGTTGAATGGATCTTGATGGGATTGGCTCTTATAGTGGGAGATAGGGGGAAGAGAAAGTGAGAAAAGGTTTATTGACCAATGCGAAATATACTGGAACTGCCATACTGGTACCTCCCTGGACAGTGAATTTGGCCCCTCTTGTGGCTGGGTCCCAGGGATCGCTGCCTAGTGAGGAGCCCAGAGCTCACGACTGCCCTCAATCTGACGCTTACTATGCTTGCTTCAATTTCCTAGGGATGTCAGACATATAGAGTGAGTGATAAGTTTGAGTTCTTGATAGGAGTGAGGAGGTATCAGATTATATCCAAGGAAAGAAAAGAAGTGTCTAGAACAATATTCCTCCATCCTGATTCACATTGGAATCACCTAGAGAGTTTCAGAAACATCTGATGTCCTCAATGCATCCCCACCTCTGAGCTCACCTGCATCTGTCTTCTGCTCACATGACCTGCTTCATGGGGTTGTGGTGAGGATCCTGAGAGTGTGACAATGGTCTGTGCTCATTGCTGGTTTTCTCTGCTAGTCAGAGCCCGAAGTGAGTTGGGGGAGGCAGGGGGGGAGGCGGGGGGGATGGCTCCTCTACCTGGCATCTGGGACTCCCAGATCTGTGTCGTCAGCCCAGGTCCTTCCACTTGTGCTATGTTTGCTCACAAGCATTCCCAACCAGCTCTGGCCAAGTACCTTGGTCCTGAAAGTGTGAGATATAGGGGAGGCAAGTGTGAAGCGTGTGGATGGGGAAGGCAAGAGGAATGTGACAGGGTTGGGCTGGATCAAAGTTGGTTGTTTTGCAGGCTCTGTCCAGAGAGAGGTGGGGTTCTTCCAAGGTGTTCTGATCCACCCTAAGATGGCTTTGTCACAAGGACAGCTAAAGATGCACATATTGGAGGAAGACTTGGCTTAGAATCCCTGATCTTCCCAGGACACCAGACCCCAGCCCTTTCACCTAGAACAGTATGGTAATTTAGGTTCTGGGTAAAACATAGAGCTGTGTAAGGTTCTGAAACAAAACAAATGAGTTAAGAGATGCCTCAACCCTGGGAAAGATAGATACAGTGTTGGCAAATAGGAGGAGAAAAAAAGGTGGGGGAGCAGAACAGATAAAACTCAGCATGCTGACACAAGTTACACACAGCAAATGAACCTGTTGGTGCCTGAGAAGCTAAACATCAAAGAGGAGATCAGCAGACAAGAGGAGCCAAGAATGGTGCCAGTTTTCTGTGATCAGTCATCAAACTGATTCATTTGTTTACTGACATGTATATATTGAGTAACTTCTATGTGTAGATATTTCACTAAGTACTCAAATGATAAACAAAACAGACAAAGAGCTCACATTCTAACATTGTTCTGCCAAATAAATAAATAAATAAAGACTTATCCCAGTATTCCCAAGAGCCTGGGTCCAGAACTCAATTCCTCTGTCTGCCAAGTGACCCTGTTCCTGGGAAGATGGCTTCTAGGAAGCCCAGTAAACTGAAGATTCTTGAGAGAGTGTCAGGAAATATGAGTTCTGGTTTTAATTCTGTCTGTGGGTCACTGAGTGACCTCAAATGAAACCCCACTGCCCTTGGTGACTCTGTTGACCCCTGTCATTGCATTATATGGTGTCTAGAGGTTTGTGGGACTGTGGTGAAGATCCTGAGATAATGGCAATGCTCAGTACTCTCCAGAGGACAAGTGATGGTACCTCTGCTCCAGCAGTTCTTATAAGCCATCTCACTGCCTCTCTGCCTGCCAGTATGCTCTGGCCATTTCTACAGCAGCCAGCTGCACACATATGTAACCTGTTGGCACCTCACCTCTTTCTCATATCTCTCATTTTCTGTTCCTGCATCTGCCAAGTGAGACACCTGGTGGGAGTCTGTGCAGTCGTGCCTTCACAGGTGCACACACCTGTTTGGACCAGACAGCTAACCCTGAGGCAAACTTTGACTGTTGGGGAAGGAGAACCTTTCCCCCAAACACACACCCATCTTGAGTTCTTGTGGCTAGACTAATAATAAAATTGATCCAAGACAGATTTAACAGGAAAAAAAAGAAACCAATTTGATTTCTGTGTTCAGAGGTCTCATAGAAATAGAACCTGAGAAGTGACCAAAGCAGGCAGCTTTTCTGATTTTTTTAGACATAGAAACAATAGATTTGAGAGGAATTTTCAGGAAAGAAACTTAGGTTTGGGTGCTTAACTAGCAAAGAATTTCGGCAAAGTTTGGGCTTGGGTATGAAACTGAGCAGGACCCTATGGGGCCTTCCTGGGACAGGCCTTTCCCCCATATCCTCTGCTTTAGCTCCTCTCTGAAGTACCTGGATAGCAGTATTTGATGCACATTTCCTGAGTTTTACAGATGTGAAAAGCCCCCACCAGGGGCTTTCCAGATGGCTCAGTGATTAAGAATCCATCTGCTAATGCAGGAGACATGGTTTCAATCCCTGGTGTAAGAAGACCCCTCATGCTATGGAGCAACTAAGCTCTTGTGCCATAACTATTGAGCCTGTGCTCCAGAGTCTGGGAAGCATAATTACTGAGTCCACGTGCCACAGCTACTGAGACCGCAAGCCCTGGAACATGAGCTCTGCAACAAGAAGCCAGTGGACCACAATTGGAGAGGGGCACCCACTCACAGCAACTAGAGAAAAGCCCCTGAAGCAATGGAGACCCGACACAACCAAAAATTAATTGATTAATTCAAAAAAACAAACAAAAAAACCCAACCAAATGGAAGATGTTAACTTCTTGATGCCTAAGGACTGGTAAGGTTAACCTCTGTGACACCACTCTGTTCCCTCACCAACAGCCAGAGAGCTATGTAAGCTGATTCCTTATCCTGTGACACCCCCACCCCCCACCAATTGCCTTTTCAACTGGCTTTTAAAATTGATTTTCCAAAAACCTTCGGGGAGCTTGGGGCTCGTGAGAACCTGAGCCACTCGTGTCCTTGCTTGCCCCTGCAATAAACCTTTCTCTGCTCCAAACACTGAGTTTCAGGCACATGAACTTGGGCTAACCATTTTGGCAAGCCAGCCTAGGAATCAACCCTAGCTAGGGACAGCCCCTTCCCTGACTGAGCCTCCAGCAGCTGCCCATGCTCATTTCACTCCAGGGATCTCAGAAGAACTATCCCCAACAGGTGCCAGCCATCCAAGACACGAGGCAATTTGGAGCTGAGAAATATCCAGAGTTGTGGTCCATATTAGGTGTCGTTGGGTGAATTGCTCCAGCTTTCTCAGGCTGGGAATTCTCTCCATTCCATCCGGGCTGCTTCCCTTTCAGGAACTGAGCCACTTGATCTGTTCTCTTTCAAGAGCCCACCCAGTATGTTTGGAGGCCTCTGTCTGAGAGTAGGAGTGGAATTTCAGACTATCCCACCTCTGATTTTCTGTCTGTGTGCCTGTAGCTTAGTCGTTGTTTCTGTTCTTGTGTGTATCATTTTGAGGTGAGCCACTTGT